GCAGGGAGGCCGAAAAAGAAGACCCCCCCCCCCCCCCCCAAAAAAAAAACTCCCCGATGTAATGTTTACATCTGGCAGTGGGCAGAAATAAACAAAGCCTGCTATTGGATATTTACAATTGAAATACCCAATAGCAGGCTGGCTAATGCCCCGCCCACTGCCTGATTTTTTTCTCATAGAAAATTGATTGTTTGGATGAGCCAACTAGCACAATTTGAATGGTTTAAAAAGAAAAATGTCTCACAATCTGTATCAAATAAATAATGGTTCAGAAAAAGAATTTGTCAATATTTGATGCAATGCAAATATGAAGAATTACACCAAGAGGATGATGGTGCAAGACAGTGACGTTTATGGTTTCTTTGCCTAATAAACTATATAAACTATACGTACTGCGACATAATAGCTTTGTGAAATGTAATGTGCCACAATCAAAGAGCCACGTGACACTTTGCATACTCCCCCTGCCGCCCCAAGAAACAGTTTTAAAAAAATGTACGCCCCCCCGCGTATTGTGGAACCTGGCCTTGGGTTGGCCGGCGGACACCTTACACCGGCGCCCGCAATTTCCCCACAAGGTCACCGCTGCCGCCCTGAGGCCGGGCCTCGGTGGCCTTGTGGGAAATCCGGGTCTGTCTACACCTGCCAGTCATAGTTCATTGGGCCCTATGTGTGGAGACCTGCGTATTGCTCAACAAGAGAAGCATGAATGCATCATTTTACCATATTCTACCACCCCATGGTCTGGCTTTACATGGAGAATAAATGTTATCACTAGAATGCAGATGAGTTATAAAAACTGAAGGAGAGAAATGTGTTGGTGTTTCCTGCAACAACCAGTCAGAGCCTTCATTTGGATTTATAACCCAGACTTGCTAAAATTTGTATGCTATGAGTAACATATAATTCAATCCAGTGGCGTAACTAGGACCTTCAGGGCCCCGGTGCAAGAAACCATGAAGGGCCCCCCCCAACCCCCCATCGCCATGGCATCGTGTGGTTAACAGGAAGGCTGCCGAGGTCCCCAGCCACAACCTCAGGCAGCCGCTCCAGTTTAAAAATTTAGTGCTGGTGTTCTGTCGAGAATGCTGACCCAGTATCTGCACTTGCGCACAGACGGAATTAATGAGGAAACCGGCATTTATTTACAAAGTATTAGTGTGTAATCGTTAATTGTGAACGTTAATAATATGCCGTCAATGGCAGTAAATGTTGGATGGCATATTATTAACGGTCACAATGAACGATTCAAACAAAATACTTTGTCAATAAATCCCCGCTTCCTCGATAATGGTGCTGAAGTCGGCAAATTCGACTAGGTCGGCGTTCTCGACAGAACAACGGTATCTGCGCCTAGTATCGGGGCATTTTCACGAGTAGGAGTACTGCCAGTATTGGCACTGGTGTGTCCCTACTTAATAATATAATGTATTGCTGGGACTTGTAGTCCTGCATAGTTGGTGCTATTCTGCATTGTTGTATAATCATCATACATCAATGCAGAATACCAGCAGCTATGCAGGACTACAAGTCCCAGCAATACAATATAATGCAAATACCACCAGCCTCTCAGCAGCCCCCCCTTCCCATCCAGCCTTCACCCACACTTACCTGACTCTCAGACCACCACTGTCACTTTCTTCCGTGTCCCGACGGCCAGGGGTCGGGACTAAGCGGAGCGGTTCCTTTCCCCACACAGCAGACAGGCAGCTGACAGTGACAGATCCGCTCCATCCCTGCCTGTACATGTCCCGCTTCTACTGCTGTGGGTGGCAGAGCGGCGGGGAAGGAGCGGCACTATCGCGGGGGGGCTGCATGAGGGGGCTGCAGGCCGCCTTGTTCCTCTCTGGGCCCCCCCCCCAACAGGCGAAACTACCAGGGTCGCAGCGGTCGCAATTGATCCACAATTGCATAATTCCTATTATGCATGTATTGATGCTATATCCATGCTTATCAACCAACCAAATATCAGATATTTACAGTGTAATGTAGTTAGAACAATCTCTGTTCATTATAACTTCTCGTATGTAGTTGTACAGGATCAGACATCCAATCATCATCATCCGATCACAAATGACAGGATCAGACACCCAATCATCATCATCCGATCACAATTCCCAGGATCAAACATCCAATCATCATCATCCGATCACAAAACCCAGGATCAGACATCAAATCATTATCATCATCTGATCACAAATCCCGGGATCACACATCCAATCATCATCATCTGATCACAAATCCCGGGATCACACATCCAATCATCATCATCCGATCACAAATCCCGGGATCACACATCCAATCATCATCATCCGATCACAAATCCCAGGATCACACATCCAATCATCATCATCATCCGATCACAAATCCAATCATCATCATCTGATCACAAATCCCGGGATCACACATCCAATCATCATCCTCCGATCACAAATCCAAGGATCACACATCCAATCATCATCATCTGATCACAAATCCCAGGATCACACATCCAATCATCATCATCATCCGATCACAAATCCCGGGATCACACATCTAATCATCATCATCATCTGATCACAAATCCAAGGATCACTCATGCAGTACTATTCTGACTTACATGATTCTATAGCATCAATATGTTGAAAGTATTTATTTGTTATTTAAAGGAGAACTATGGGGTCAGTGTTTTTCCCCATAGTTCTCCTTAGGGTAACGGGAGGACACCAACTAGCATCCTCCCGTTACCCTAAGCTCAGTATACCGCGAGCTACAGCTCGCGGTATACTGAGACGCCGCACCTGGAGCGGATCCCGACGTAGATGACGGGATCCGCCCAGCTGCGTGAGTGACAGCTGGCTCTGCCTATCTAGAGGCAGAGCCAGCTGTACCCGCCCCTTCCCCCGTCCGTTCCGCCAGTCAGCGCTGGCAGATCGGAGCGGGGAGGGGGAATCCAGCCCCTCCCCCTGTCACGGCAGAGAGCCGTGACAGGATCGAGAGGTGAGGGAACGCCGGTATGTGTTCCCTCACCTCCCGATCTACTGAGCCGACCTGTGACAGTCTCATTGTCACAGGTCGGCTAGAACTATGAGGTGAGTGGAAATCACTCATGTCATAGTTCTCCTTTAATGATTTGATGTGTTTAGATACATGTGTTTTGGGGATACATGTGCCTACAATTGGATGTGATTTGTACAGGATCACACATCCACTTATAGGCAAATTAAGCCCTAAAAAACAATTGTATCTAAACACATAAAATCATTAAATAACAAATAAATACTCCCAACATATTGATGATATAGAAAGCAAACCTTAGAGAGATGTTTGCATTTCAATATAGACAAACTACAATTAGGGGAATTTGCCCCGACTGGAGCGGACAGAATCTGGAGCAGGGGTCCATGACAACCAATCAGCTTCTCTGTTTTATTTTTAAAGCTTAACTGATCAAACCGTAGAAATAAGCTGATTGGTTACTTTGCACATCTGATCCATATAGTGTCTGCTCCAGTTGTGGTAATTTCCCTCCATTGTGTTTTCAATTACTATTGCATGGTGAAGCACTTTTTATGCAACATTCCCATTCTTACAAGTGTACTCTTCCATATTTTTAAGGTGGCCATGTTTAGTCAATTTCAAACACTTTTGAGCCATTGATAAATATCAGCAGTCTAAGCAATCTGACACAGCACAGTGAGTGAGCATTGTCAGTCTGGAACAGGAAGTTTGTTATTGATGGGATTATCAGGGGAAAATAAAGGAAAAAGAGATTGAAAAAAGCAATCACATGCAGCCAGCACATCTAAGGGCTGATTAGTTGCATAATACCATATTTTTGTTTTGAGGTTTAGATACGCTTTAAACATTTGCATTGTGAGAAAGTAAAGCACAGCCACTGTGTAGCACTACAAAGCAAGAAGCAGTGCCCACATATGTAATGAGCAAATATGGGTGCCGCATGTATTTACAATCAATACATTAAAACAGCAAGGGGGATTTATCAAAACTGGAGCAGTTGTCCATGACCACCAATCAGCTTTTCTCTTTAATTTTCAAAGCTTAAGGCCTTGTTCACACCAAGCACGGAGCACGCGCAGAGCAGATCAGATCAGTTGCAGACCGGATCAAAACTGCGTCCAATGTAT